CTAACACACAGCTCGAGCAGGTTCCAAGTGACTGGCTGATTACTTCAGAAACTTCAATGATTTACTAAGGGCACTTAGTATTTGAAGGGTTGTAACAGGTTGAATTGTGTTCTCTAAAAAACAATAATAATAATAATCATATGTATTGAAGTCCTAACCTCCAGGATCTCAGAATGTGAGCTGAATGTGATACTTCAGCAGAATGTGAGCAGAATGTGATACTTCAGCGTGCTTGATGACTGAACACCACTATGTGAAGTTAATACCCAGGGAAGCTGTCCTAGCACTGCGAAGGCCGGGACTAGGGTGATGTACTTCAAGCCAGGAATGCTAAGGATTTCCGGCAGCCGGGAAGAGACTCTGAAGGAGCTTTGCTCTGCCTTCTGAGAGTGCAGGGCTCTGTTGACACCTTCATTTCCAAAGTCTGGCCTCCAGCACTGTGAGATGATAAATCTCTGTAGTTTAAGCCACCCAGTTTGTAACAAGCGATTACAGCAGACCTGGGGACGAATACAAAGATGGCCAAGGCTCCAAACCAGGAGAAGAACCCACTTTAGCTTGGTGTCTGACCACAAGAGCAGCCCCGTGAGAGAATACAGGGAGGCTGCTTTGTAACCATTTGCACGTTCACAGGTGGCGCTGGAATGCTGGGGTCCCTACTTGCATGGTCTGCTATTCACAAGTACTGTGATCCTCACCATACCTCAGGGACTACACCGGACAGCTGGCAGCAATCATAGTCAGGGAGATTGAAGAATCTAGGATTTGATGACTTTACTGAGCTGCTGAATCAACAAATTCCAGGACCACCTAACTCTCTGCTCTTATAAATGGAAAACAATGTCTTATTGTTCAAATTATTTTGTATAAGATCGTCTGCTAAACACATAGTTTCAATGTTGAACTTTTTTCTTTCCCTTCTATCTTCCCCATAGTTACAATCTGCTATGTAAACATTAAGTTTACATAAACTATACTGATCTTAACTTTAGTTTAACACTTTCACTATGCCCAACAATTTATTGCACCGGAAGTCTTGCTCCAAGTACGAGCACACTAAGGGCATCATGTGGAAATCTTCCTCCTACACTGCTAGATTGATAGATTGATAGCACTCCAGCAGTGTTTTTCAGCTTTGGTGTGTACGAGTGAAGCTGCAAAAAGAAAGGCATGGGAATGGTGATGCTGTGACAGTGAATTTATGCTCTAGCTTTGAGTTGCCCCAGTGAACTATGCATCTTGAGTGCTCGTCACCGAGCGATTGTGGGATGGTCACATTCCATTAGCCACTTGCTTTGTAGTACAGCCTATCTGAATTAAAGATTGCTGCTAGCTACTCAAGCTTGTGAAATAAAAATGGAAAAAGAATGTGGTCCAATTTCTCACAAATAAAATAGGACCAAGGATCCTTCTGTTACATTTTAACAATAAAAGCACAAGTCATTTGCAATAGTTTATTGTATTGGCATTAGTATTGCATGCATTGTTGCTGCATTTACTCAGAACCCTCTGATCCCAACAAACAGAAGGGAAAGCATATTATGATCAATACACCGTGCAGGCCGTCATATGAGAACAGTATTAATTTGAACCATTACTGATTATACTTCCAATGATTGCACTTTGGCCCAAAGCACTAGTCACAGTAGAAAGCGTTAAGTATTTGTTGAAGTGATCTGAGAAATGAAAGCTTGTTTCTGTGAGCATCCCTAAAGAGGATAATGTTATAGATTAAAAACTAGTGGTCAACTTAATGCCAGCTGAATTAAATCAGCATGGTGCTGAGTGTAGATGTTTCACCTGAGGAAATTTACAGCATAAATAGAGATGTGGAAAGAAAGAGCGAAGCATTGTGGTTTCTCTAAGTGTTGCTATTTGAGCCATTGGCTCTCCTGGAGGAGCTCGTCACGACTAGCATCCCCAGTGTGAGTTCAATCACTGTCATCGAGAAGCTCGGGACCTTGTTAGTGAGAGTGGCTGTAGTTCACTTTGGGGAAGCTTTGGTCCTTACATCACTTCCTGGCTCCAGAAAGGAAGATATGTGCCATTTAAGCTCCAGGACAAACTCGTCATGCTGGCTTTCTGGCAGGTACTTGATGATATCTGGCAGGTATCATTGGAGGAGCTTGGGATGTCCATGTTGCTGAGGATGGCTGTGGTACTTTTCAGGACAGCCCTGCTCTTTCTTATGAGCATGGCTTCTCGGCTCCAGTGTAGAACCCTCAACCTACCAGCACAGCTCCTTCACCCTACTGGCATAGACTTTCTAGCTTCTACTGCTGACCTTTGGGCCTTCTCAGCACAGATCCATAAAACAGACTGGGGTGAGTCCTTCTCGTGGGTTCTAGACCTCCAGTTGGACTTGTGGGAGGCATTGTCATGGCCTATATGCCTTCAGCTGGACTCATGCAGGACATTGCTGTGGGATCCAGGACCTTGGCTACATAGTCTGGGTCTTAGTGTTGTGGATAGATTTCCTGTATCTTCTTGTGTTAAACTCTGTGTCCTGATTCTAATTGTTCTCACAAACCCTTACTACAGATAAGGAGAAAAAGAGGCTTTTTTGGAAAAAATGTGGGAATGGTGCAAGCCACACATCCTGGAGCACACTGGCAAGGAGCACAAATCCAGAGAATGCTGTCTAAAGTGGTCAGACACCTGCTCCGAACAGTGCTATCTTGGGCCCCACGCTGTGAACTCCCTGCTCTTCAGTGTACCCACTGTAGCAGGCAGAATGTGGCACTGCCTTTTCCCCACTGAGAAGGGAAGCAATCTGGATGATAGGTGCTCACCATAGAGCACCAAACTGCCTCTACAAAAATACTCCACATGTTTTATGCAACCCAGCTAAAATTTAAAAAGTCATAAATACCTTCTAATAAATGTACAAAGCCCAGAGCAGGCTTCTCTTAATTGCATCTTATTCTGAGAACAAATTTGCTGTGGGTTAGAAGAAAAACATCATCTTTCTTTTTCTTTTCTTTCTTTTCTTTTTTTTTTTTTCTTTTCTTTTTTATTGGTACCAGGGATCGAACTCACAACCACATACTTGCAAGGCAGGCACTTATGCCGCCGAGCTAATTCCCCAGCCCCAAGAACACCATCTTTCATGTTTTGCCACCCAAGTATGAGCTAAGACTCCCTGACTGAGTGACATTACTTTCCTTTCAGAACAGATCAGTCAAAATCCACAGAGAAACTTGCTAATACCAACATCAGTGGGTCTCGCTTCAAAATGCTCTCCAAATCCATCTTACCCTCTGGCTTCTTAACTAATTCTTTGAGCACCTTCCGGCCGCAAGCACTGTGCTAAGAGCTAGGCAGCCCAAGTCCCTGCCAGAGCTTTCTGCCGCTCAACTCATAGTGACTGGTGACAGTGAGCTAATGTATCGTGGGAGGCTGCAGTGGAAACTTAAGAGACAGGAGGCTTGCTTTTGGCTGGAACTCAGGAAAATCTTCTAGGAGAGCTGGCATCTGAAGATGTGGAGGAATTTTCCAGAGCTCTGAAGGCTGTTCCACATGATGTAATCATACAGCAAGGTTTAAAGAAATGACAAGTCAGAGGTTTTGCAGATTATCTGTTGGTTACTACTCTTGGGATTAAGAATAGTAAGTTGGGGAAAGTTGACCTCAAGTGAGGCTGGGCAGATTGATGGGTTCACAAGATTCCTATGAAAACTTTTTATTTATTTGTTTTTGTTTCAGGGATCATTGTTTTACTACTAACAATAATGATGAGAGGAGTAAAAACATATTCCAGATCCTCTGAATGGCCATTTACCATATAATTTCAACATGCATATATTATCTTTGTGATAAAGCTGGCACCCTGCCCACAGAGAGCAACAGCTGGAGGCCAGCAGAGATCCACTAGCTGAAACACAGCCAAGCAGTAAGGGCACAGGGTCACCACATGCTTCCTGCTAGTGGTCATGCCCGACTCACAGCAGCCACGCTACCATGCTCTCAGACCAGATCACATTGTAAGGGCAACTGAGACTCACAGAGCAGTATCATTTGTCTCACTAAACTAAAACGGCTTACTTGAACATTACTGGCTTTGTAGTTTTGGCCTGATACATTTTCCCTTTAGATTTATAATTCCATAAATATGTGTCAAAAATGTGATAGCTAGTTTCATTTTTTATATCACCTTAATACATATTTAAATAAACACTGCCACCCTTGGGGTTTTTCTTTTCCTGTAAAGTGGTTTGTCCATTTCTCAAGTATGAGAAAGAGCTATAGATGAGCACAAGAACCTTTGAGGAAACTGCAACAGATAATGGCATGAAGCAATGACTGTGTTGGGAGTTGTCACAGAGAAGACTGTTCAGGTGGACAGACCAGAGATGGAAGGACATCTAGGAGGGCACTGCCCACATCCTCCTACTTTAAAGACCTTGTTTGCTCCCAGAGCCGCTCTCAGGCAAGGGTCAGGGCCCTGTGGAACCAAATGCTGACCCAAAAAACAAAATGCATAGGTTTCAGGGAAAAAGCTTCCTAAACTTCTGTATGTGTCATTTCCCAGAGTTTGATGATGAGGACAGAAGTAAATTAGAGCTAACACAAAAGGAGCTGCTATGTACATGGTAACAAGAAAACAACCAGGGCTCTCTACCCCGGCTACAGCTAAACAAGGCTCATTGCTAAGCCAGGTGTCGCTGGGGCTATATTTTTCCAGAGAAGGTGACTTTCTCTAATTTAGACAAAACCTGGACGGCCTTGTTAAGCATGATCTTTGGAGGCATTGTGTCTCCCAGAAGGATATCTTTTTCTAAGTGCATGAAGGCACTCATGCATGGGCTAGTTATGACTTAATCCTGCTTTTCTGAGATTAAGTCTTAACAGCATCTCACTAAACTAGAACTCTTACAGTTTAATGAGAGCAAAGGATTTTCACCTTGAATGTTTTGGAGAGCATATGACTTACTCATAAAAGCCATAGTGTTAAGATACTCAACAAGCATGAAGAACTGGATACTATATTCCCCGCTTACCTCGGGGGCCATCCAGAATGGGGTACCAACGGATGTGTTTCTCCGTAGCCGTGTGCTGGTGAGTTGAGCTGAGACTCCTGGAAGAAAAGGGAATTGAAATTCAACAGGAGACAGAAGGTGATGCCAGATTAGGGTTGACAGTTTTTCCCATAAAGGGCCACATAGTAAATATGTAAGGCTCCATATGGTCTCTGTCATAGCTACTCTGCTCTGTGAACTAAAGCTGTCATGGAAAACACATGAGTGCCTGCCAACAGAACATTTTTTAAGGATGCTGAAATCTGAATTTCATATAACTTCACATCTCAATATATTATTTTGGGGCTTTCCAATCATCTGCCAACCACTGTACTGGAGAATTTGTGAATCTATCAAGTCATAAGAATTTTTTTCTAATGAATATCCCTGTCTATATTGCTGCAAATTTGGAGCCAAAAGAAAAATATCAACAATGAGGATCAACCTAAAAGAAATTTTCCTATTATATTTTCCAATTATTTAGGGTGATTTCTTTTTTAATTAGGTATTTCATTTTACAGAGGAAGAAGATTGGCATAGATTATCTATAATAGAGCATCAGTGTAGACATAAAAAGAATTTGGTGCCTTATCTTGCCTAGAAGCCTGCAAGCTTGGCAAGAAAGCTATTTTGTCAAATGGAAAAAGAAACTGACAGTAACGTTATTATCTCAAGCTCAGTGTTGATGACTTGACTTTTAATGTAATTCCAACGTCCTCTAACTAGCTGCTTCTCTATACCTTGAGGGAATGCAGGGAAAGTAAAGGTGGATTAGGGAGGATCAGGGAGACTGTTCTCCATACAATTATGCCTTTTGCTAACGGTGTGGCCAACTCTCCTTTGAGCCTTGGTTTTCTCATCTTAACTAGAGACGATGACAATAGTTATACCTAACAGGGAGAGTACTTCTTAAGACTAAACATGAAATCAGTTGCACAATGCACATTACAATGGTAAGGAATTTCTTTGGCCAGGCAGAAGTCTAACATAGCCCTTCAACTGATGCAGTCACAATATAGCCAGAGAGCTCCCAGAGACAGGGAGCAGATAGAACCCTAAGCTGCTCATTAAAGAATGATTTGTGTTTTCTTATGGGATAGTCGGAGACTTAAAAAGCCCTTTTTTTCTCTAAACTGTGACTCTACTCTTTTGCTGATAGATGCTCAAAGGTAACTAGCAGCAGAATTCAGCTTGGCCTTCACTTTGCATGCTTTGCTACTGTAAATCTTGGGAGTACGTCTCAGCTCTGCACAGGGTTATGTTGATCATTTAGGGAGTATCTGTCTAAGAGATGCCCAGACAGGGTTGGTCAGTCCTGAACGTACATGATCCCATTGCCCTTCAAGACTGAGGACAGCAAGATAAGTGCTTTACAGGAACATTCAGCTATACCCAGAAGCCTCTAGCCGTTGTCCTCAGCCTGTGATCACCTAGATTCTGAGAAAGGCAGAGCCCTCATCACTAAGGCCATGACAGATGGAGACAATCCTTTCCTGAAAACTGAACCATCTTTCAGCCATAAGAATTCCAGAGCTATGACACCTGGTCTGAGATGATAACTGGATTCCAGCCCACCAGCTAGTCCTTGAAAGGTGGTCTTCCACATTTGTGGTGGGACATTCTGGACACTTGTATCAGAGTGCCCCTTCCAACTACCTAAGCTGGAGTCTTTTCTTATTTTCCTCTAACTTTCCAATTAAAGCTCTTTTTCCTGTAAATTTGCACTTTAATTTCCGTTCCTACTAATGCAAAGACTCATGCTAGCTGGTCATACTGTTGATGAAACACACAACATCAGGCTGGATTTATGAGAACACATGGGATTCTTGTTGCGCCAGCTGCCTGCATTCTGTTTATCAGAACGATAGGCTCTCAAACCCCTGGGCTCATGCAATCCTCCTGTCTCAGTCTCCTGTCTAACTGGGACTACAAGCACATGTGCCTGCACCCAGCAAGAGTCCTCCTTAAACTCTATTTGCCACAGATAATTTATTCTTTTATTAAATCCTCCACTATAATTTTGGTAAAAACTACTATACCGTTTTGTTTTGAATTTCTAGAACTTTCTTTTGTGTCAGTGAAATATTCAGGAACTTTCTACTAGAAAGATTAGGAATGGTACTCACAGGCAAATCACAAAAGTGATGAGTAATAAATCACTATTAATCCGTATCCTCATATCCTTCTAGGCTAGTTTCCCTCTCAACATATTTATTGCCTTTAGAATCATGGGGAAAACACATCTCTATTATATTCAGAGTATATTACTGAAGCTACGTCATCCTTTATATTAAAAGAAGAACATGAGGGACTGGGGATTTAGCTCAGCGGCATAAGCAAGCACACTTGCCTTGCAAGTGTGTGGTCGTGAGTTCAATCCCTGGTACCGATAAAAACGAAAAAGACCAAAAAAAAAAAAAAAAAAAAAAAAGAACATGAACCTTGAACAAAGAACTCCCTCTGTTATTTTTCTTTCCTTGTATCTTTGAAAATAGATACTCAATAGAGCAACTTCATTTACTTGTAAATAATTTCTTTTGCACAAGTGATTCACTGACACATTTTTATCCCTAACACTTTCTTACCAATAAAACAATGAATATTCAAAATCATAGGTCTTGGTTTCTTTTTTTTTTTTCATCATGATGACACTGATAATGTTTTGAAATGTTTCTCTAAATGTTTTCTCACTGTATGTAACAATAACTCTGAAGTATTAACTAGTATTGAACTCATTTAGAAGATTAACCCATTGCATAAACCTAAAAGGAAAACCAAATGGAACTATAGTTTGTGAATATTACAGTTAAAATGTATAGTGGTCTCAGATGACATTCAGTGCATTTCCTCTTACCCTTCCATTTCCCACTGATGTTTCCAGTTCAGTCAGCCTCACATGTCGCAGCAATAATCACCACTTAACTACAGGGATGTTGGCTCCCAGGCCCAAAGGACCATTTTACCTTCTGCTCACTGGGAATAAGTATGCCTAAGGCTAGCAAAAGCCATTAAAAGGCCAAACTGCCTTCTCTCTCTCTCTCTCTCTCTCTCTCTCTCTCTCTCTCTCTCTCCTCTTTTCATATGCAAAAGAAGATATGACAAAATGTAAATTATAGACAATTGCCTTGACACGTGATATTCTCACTAGAAAACCAAAAAGGTTTTCCATCAACTTCTTCTGCAACACTTTTATTTTCTATGTTTAATAAAATTGCTTCTAAAGCTGAAAATAGATTTACAAATAGCATGTCCTAGGGTGATCCATCTGGTAAGCCCCCAACTCCCTAGCCTGGAAAGGTCCCTCAGCCTGTGCTGTAGCAGAGAGGCCCAGTTTTGTGAGACTACAATAAATTGTCCCCTTTGGCTACACTGCACACATCAAGAAAACAAACGACAGGCAGTCATTACCAAAGTCAACGAGCTTAACTCCTCCTTCTGTTGTCAGAAGAATGTTATTCCCCTTCACATCACGGTGGATGATTCGGTTGTTGTGCAAATGCTGAAGGCCCTGCATGGCGCCCATCGCCACCGCACAACAGGAAAGAGAAATAAAAGGGAAATTGACATGCTTATTTTAAAGCAATTACTCTACTATTAGAAAGTCCAATCCAAGTCCACATTTGGCTACACTTTCCTGTTATTAATTATGCTTGCATCTTATGAGGCATTTTTCCCCATCATTAATATGCAATGAGGCTCCAAACAGTGTACAAATTGCTTCTTTTGCTGTCATCACCCCCAGTTCAATAGACATTCTTACCAAGAGAGCTCCATACAAGATGTAAGAGATCACTGCTTCATCCAACCGCTGGCCACTCCTGAGGAGGCCTTTCACAAGGTCGGTGACGGAGCCCCCATTACACAGCTGTAGGAGGGGATGCCACCCAGAGAGAGGGTTCAAAAGAAAAGAAAAATAAATTAAAGAGAAAAGTTCACTGATTACTAACTCAATATAGTACATCTGCAGGCCATAAAATTCCAACTTGGAATAATTAGACTTTAAATTTCCACTAGCCAGTCAAATCAAGCTCTTTCTATGTGCATACAGCCTGTATTCAAGGTGATGATTTATGAGCAAAAGTATAAACCCCAAAAACAGACTTTTTAATTGCCAAGTAAAATAAAAAAGCACAAATTATTATTTAGACATTGGAAAGAAAAAGCCCATCAGTAATCATGGTGACTCATTAAATCTTTTTCATTTTATGTGACATCATCTATAGTTTTTCAAATGAGCATTTTCAGGACAATTAAGAACCAGAAGAAATAAGATGGATGCCCATGATACCTGACGGAAAATGAATTTCAGTGATTTCAAATCTTCCTGCCTTCTGTATCTGCACTCAGGCATCAGAAGCCTGAGCAATAGCTCTTTCTAGAGTTGCCAATGTGTGGCAGGTTTATGGGGTGGGGTTGTGTCATAGGCACATGGGGTCTCCTACTCTGCTCTTTCTCTCTCCCTCCCTCTGAACCCCCTTCTAGAAATTTAAAATGCTGTGTAAGTGATTATATTTTGCACAATTGTTCTTTGCTATATATTGTACATCACTGAAGTGCAAGTCCATAAAGCAGGTACACTATACTTTCTTGGCAATTCTGAGAGTTTCAAGGGTAATTTTTACTAACTGCATGAGTCCCTAGTTTGAATTTGCCATATGCCATCTTAAATCCAGGGTTACTAAGGCATGGAAATGTCCTAGAATTGCAGGCAGCGTAAGGGTGCATCTTGAGGTTTTTCTCAGGAGACAATTCAGAGCACTCATCAGATTCTAGGAGCCATCCTTGACCTTACATAGGAAAAAGCAAAACAAAACAAACTCCTTTAAAGACTTAAGTTACCTCTTGGCACTTTTTCTGCACTTTGGGAAAGTGTGAACTAATGAACAACACGTGGTTTCTGCAGGTTTTCATTCTTTAACTCCTATGTCTTCAAGTGTCGTCCTATTTTGTCTTCCAGGAGGTTTAATGTTTCTGTTTTAATGTTTAGATCTTTGATCTACTTTGATTTTAATTTAGTATATGGTCAGAGTTATGGGTCCAGTTTCATTCTTCTACAAATGAAAACCTGTTTTTCCAATAGCACTTGTTGAATACGCTATCTTACTTCTAATATATGCTTTCGGATCTTTTGTCAAAGACTGAATAGTTGAATATGTCTGGGAAGGTTTCTGCATCCTCAATTCTGTTCCACTGATGCACAGGTCTGCTTTTATTCCAGTGCCAGGCCATTCGTATCACTTTGTGGTATAGCTTGAAGTCTAGTATGGCTGTGCCATCTGCTTTGCTCTTACTGCCCAAAACTACTTTTGCTATTCGGGGTCTCTTCTGGTCCCATACCAATTTTAGGATTGTTCTCTCTAGATCTGTAAAGTGTACTGTTGGTATTTTGATTGGGATTGCATTGAATCTTTATAACAGTTTTGGAAGTATGGCTATTTTGACGATATTAGTTCTGCCTATCCAGGAGCAGAGACTATGTTCCCATTTTCTGATGTCCTCTTCAGAGTACTGTAGTTTTCTTTGTAGTGGTCTTTTCACTTCTTTGTTAATTCCTAAGTATTTCACTTTTCTTAAAGCTTACTATGAATGGTACTATTTTAATAATTTCCTTTTCATCCCATTCATTGTTGGTATACACAAATGCTAAAAATTTTTGTGTGTTAATTTTGTATCCTGCTACTTGAGGAAATTGGTAATTAATTCTAAGAGTTTTTTGGTGAAATTCTCTGGGTCTTCCATGTAGAGTATCATGTCATCTGCAAATAGTGAAAATTTGAGTTCTTCTTTTCCTATGTGTACTGCTTTTATTTATTTCTCTTGCTTATTGTTCTGGCTAATGTTTCAAGTATTATGTTGAACAGCTGAGGTGATCATGGACATCCTTGTCTTGTTCCTGATTTTAGGGGGACTGCTTTTGGTTTTTCCCCATTCAGTCTGATCTAGGCATTGGATTTGTCACAGATAGCCTTTGTCATTTTCGGGTATGGTGCTTCTATATCTGTTTTCTTCATGGTTTTTATTGTGTTGGATTTTGCAAAAAGTCTTTTCTACATCTATTGATATATTCACATGGATTTTGACCTTGCTCCTGTTTATGCAGTGTATTATATTTATAGACTTACATATGCTGAACCATTCTTGCATCTCTGGGCTAAAACTTACTTGATCATAGTATATCAGTTTTTTTATAATATGCTGCTTTTTTTTGGACCGGGGATCGAACTTATGACCTTACACTTGGCCAGGCAGGCGCTTATGTTGCTGAGCTAAATCCTGGCCCAATATGCTGCTTTTTATTTGCTAATATCTTGTTGAGGATTTTTGCATCTGTGTTCATTAAAGATATTGAACTATAGCTCTGTTCTTCAGTTGGGTCTTTCTCTGGTTTTGCACAAGAAATAGCAAGAATCAACAAATGGGATTGGATCAGACTAAAAAGTTTCTGTACAGTAAAAGATTCTTTAGTAGAGTGAAGAGACAACCTATAGAATGGGGAAAGAATTTCCCCAGATATTTCTCAAACAGAGGACTGATATCCTGAATACACAAAGGACTTGAAAAAATTAAACTACCTAAAATTAAAGACCTCATCAAGAAATAAGCTAGAAAAATGAACAGACACATCACAGAGGAAAAAATACAGATACTCAAAAAACATGAAAAAATGTTCAACATTTCTGCCATGTAGTGTAAATTAAAATACCAGTAACATTTCACCGTACTCTGGAAAGAATGGCAATCATTAGGAAATCAAACAATATCAAACCCTGATATAAAGAAAGAACTTTCCTGCATTGTTGTTGGGAATGCAAACTAGTACAACTAGTATGGGAATTAGTATGAAGAATCCTCAAAGAATTGATATTAGAAATTCCATAAAACCCAGCTATTCTCCTGCTAAGAATCTTCCCCAAAAAACTCTTAGAATATTTATAGCATCACATTTGTAATAGCTAAATTCTGGAAGAGCCTGTATAACCATCAACAGATGATTGGTTAAACAAAAATGTCCTATATATATGGAATACTACTCAGTTTAAAAAGAATGCCAAATTTGAGGTACTTGTAGAAAAATAGATGCATCTAGAAAACACAATGTTGGGTGAAATAAATCAGACGCACAAGCTTGAATACCATATGGTATCCCTCATTTGAGTGAGGCAATGTACAAAGAAAATTATAAAAGATGGATAGAAAGGGGCAAGGGACAGATCTCATCCAATAGGGAAATTGTCCAAGAGAGAAAAGAGAAGAGCAAAGGAGAGGGGAAGGAGAAATGAGAGAAATGCAGATATGCCACGTGTAGGAACCTAATAGCCCAAATCAATGTAAACTACACAAGCCATAATGAGTGCTAAGACAAACACTCTCAACAGGTACAAAAAAGTGATTGGGGAACCAGAGGAGAAGGGGAAGGGAGAGGTAAGGGGAAGGAGAAAGAAAAAACTGCAACATGTACATGTGACCACTCCCCGAGATGACTGTAAGATGCTGAAAATAAATCTTAAAAAGACTAAAACAGACAACTCTTCACCAAGGAAATAATACTTTAGGAGTTATTGACTTTATAGCATTTTAATAAAGGGTGAACAGATCTTTTTGTTTGACGTGGGTACTATGCCCTTGTATACCTTAGCAATCAGGATACCCTGGAATTGAATTTGCTGCTTTTATAATTTAAATCACTTATAAGTGATGGTTTGGGGACTAAAAATCTAATATAGAATTAGGGAATTTAAAAATTAGCATAATATTACTATATCTCAGGGATAATTTACGAAGGAGCCTAAAAGTAGCGCAGTGCGGTGAAAAATAGTGAAATTGAAGACTGAATGTGCCAGGAGTCTGGGACTATGTTAAGTAACATTAGAATCTACTGTCCAGCAGCTCAGCTCCGATAGCTCTGATGTTCCTTGTGTTGAATGCCAGTCTAATATATTTGGGATGCCAGTCCCAGAGGGCTCATATGATAAAGGCTGGGCCTCAGAGTGGCACTTTTAGGAGGAGGAACCTCATGGCAGGTCTTCAGGTCATGTCATGTCCTTAAACTAACAGGACTGTCTGTAGCAGCCTGGCTTTTTCCTCTTTCTCCTTTGCTTCTTTGCCATGAAGCAAGCAGTTTGCCATCAGCATCTACACCTGAGGCCTAAAAGATAGGCTCACCTATTTATGGACTGCAATCTCTAAAATTATGAGCCAAAGAAAATCTTTTCTGTTTTTGAGTTAATTATCTCAGGTATTTTGTTACCCTGATGAAAAGCTGACCAGCACAATCTTTCAAAAGGCTGCATATTCTTTCATTCCTAGTGATATCTTTCGTGATCTGGAAAGGACAAAGAACATTCACTATACACCTCTGTGTTCTCACTAGTCTATAATTGGCCTGTCACTACCCATCACTCAGTCACATGAATAAGGCACAGTCCCCAGCCTCAGATCACTGCCCAGTCCGGCCACATGTGGCTGTGTTGCACGACTGAAGAATGTCCCGGGTTCCACTGGGGAAGGTCCTCCTCAGCAATGTCATCCAGCACACATGCTCACAATAAGATCCAGAAAGAATCAGATATGTGGAAAATAAGAGAAATAGAGAAACAGAGAGAGGATTCTTACCAGGAAACCAAAAGGAAAATGTTACCCAGTAGGTCAAGTTGGATGCTTAGTGATGATTTTGATGAAGAAAGTCAGAGAGAATATTAGAGTCCAAAACCTGAAATCTCTGGGCCACTGGAAGATGATTTTCTTAAGGCTAAATCATGGAACAAGAAGTTATATGATTATGAAGCTAACATGCCAGACAGATGGGATCACAGTGGTAATAAGGAGTTATATCCTAAAGGATTTGAGACAGACAGTGATCAGGAA